GCAAAAAAAAAAAAATCATACATTTTCCCCTGATTTACAGAAGACACCCACTAAAATGTCATTCTTAGTCATATTTATAACAAAAATCAATTTATGACATTAAAAAACTAATTTAATCATGACAACTATCGAAAGATTTAACATGGTGATGGATATGACAATGTTAATGTATTTGGTCTTGGCGGAATTGATCTGCTACGCTGCAGCTGCTGCTGTTGGTTATTGCTGTATTTATAGATTATTGCTGCTGCTGCTGCAAGCTAGTACAGGAACTTGCTACTGCCAATGCATACGGCGATGCAGTGCCGTGAGTATTTAAGACATACTGCTGCTGCACAAATAACATACCGGTACTTCAGTACCAAGTCGGTACTAAAAAAATGAAAACGTTACGGTACCAGGTTTTTTTAAGTACCGGTGGTACTCAGTACCCGGTAAACCCGGTTCTTGATGCGCTATCCGAAAGGCGTGCAGATGCGCTCTCTTCATAAAAGCACTGAGACATGGCGACCTCTCACTTATTCTTTTATATATTTTAATATGTACAGGTCAGAATAAGCATGTTGTTTGAATTTTTACATTACACCGAATTACAATAGAACATTATTTCAACCAAACTTTGACATTTTATTCTTCAAAAACTTATTTGAAACCTTAAATGTAGACACTTAACTTGCATTTAATGTGCTTTCTATGGACATAAAATCACTTTTGTAAATTTCTTTTGATGCGGACATCTTAACGTCTTTGACCCATACGTGTTTGTTGAGTATTGAGTATATTTTAAAAACATCAGGCTTTTATGATTCTTACAGTATTGATGTAACTAGAACATGGAGCTCATAAAAAAAGAAAAATCAGCGGCCCAAACTAAACAAATATAACAGCTGATAATATAAAAATATCAGCTGTCACTCTATATCTCCTAATAATATGTCTTAGTAAAGTGATATTGAAATGTTTATGATCAAAGCTCTGTAATTTTTATTGTGGGCAAAATATATACAACGCAATTCAATGATGATTGAGTGATGAACAACTAAACATTCCTTAAAAGCCTGCTGTATAATATTTGATACATTTTAACATGATTTTTCTAAACATGATGTATGGATAATCACGTAAACCTACGTTTCTTTAGTCCAGTCAGTGTTCATCTTGAAATTACTAACAATATAACATTTATTTGTACGTTTACTAGAAGAAAAAAAAATCAGTAAAGCAGCAAAAAGTGTGTAAAAATGTGTAAATTATCAATCACATGACAGAAGGCATGTAGTAAAGTGCAGTATGAAGTCCAAGATGTCTACCATACATGTTTACTGCGCAACAAACAAACAAAAAAAATTACAGGAGACTGTGCATCTGAGACTAAAACAGTCTACAGAGGAGAAATGCTGCGGAAATCCCTGCATGTCTCTCATGCAGTCACATGACCAGACACTTTCCAATGACCAAACTTCAGGGCCATAAACAATCAGTGTAACGGCAAATGAGATTAGAGTGACGGGTCACAGGTCACACTGAGAGACGAGGATTAGTCTCCTTAAAGACAACACAAGAACCTGGACACCGAATAACTAACTGACTAATAATAGTGTCTTTACAATCAGACCCCTGCTCACAAAAACAGCAAAAAGCCAAGAGGACGGCAGTATTTACTACTAGTGCCTCATGCTATCCAGTATTTAATCCAGCAAACAATAACACATTTAGATAGCCACTGTCGGTGTTAAATTTGTTAGTATTTGCATGAACATGCACATGCAAATGTATTTGAATGAAAAGAACAAAAACGTGTAGGGGTCATATTTCATCCCAAAAACAGAAATGGGTGGGGAGCCTACAAAGGTGAATGTTTAACGTTTTTTAAAGGCAGTACATATGCTGTTCTTTTGACCTTTCTTGCGTTGATAAGAAGAAATCACCAAATCAGCATATTTCTGAAGGATCATGTGACACCGAAGACTGGAGTAATGATGCTGACAATTCGGCTTCGCATCACAGGAATAAATTACATTTTGAAATATATGAGAAAAAAAATCAGTTATTTTAAATTGTATGAAGTAAGTGGGTGTGCTTAATTGTCATGAAAATGAGAGCACAATGCAAAAAAAAAAACCTTTTCAAATTTGTGATGAAATATAATATAGACATTAGTTAACTTTCTACCACTTCAGCACAGCAGCATGAAAAACAAAGGCTTTGAACAGTGTAACTATAAATGTCTCTGAATATTCAGTCTGAGCTATTATGTAGTGCACAGAAAACACTCTGCCCCAGTACAAAGGGGTCTTCTTTGGCTGATTTAATGCAAGTCTGGACCCAAAACGAAAGTCAGAGGCTGAAATTTAGTGAGCACTGAATAGCAGCACAAGCAATAAGTCTTGACCCAACAACAAACGCTAGTCACGCTGCACACACACACACACACACAGTCCTGCTGTACCATCAGTCCAGCTTTCCTACAGTCCTGATGAGGCGCAGGGTGGTCCCGGTCCAGCCAGCTCTTGTTAATCAGTGATCCCACCCAACCCAACATCTTTATCTGCTCTGCTCAAAACAATCAAATAACCTGCTCTTAGCCGCTTTACATCTTCAAAATGCTGCTCATGTTGATCACATTGTTAGAAAGAAAAAAGTGTGCATTTACTATCAGGTCAGTGAAGACGTCCTGTGCCTCTACAGAGACAAGGCAGCTTGCATCAAGTGCATTTCACCCATAATCCTTTAAACTGTCAGCAGATGACCTCTTTTCACCGTGATGGCAGGACAGACATTTTAGGACTGATTCAATTCACCCGCACATGACATCTTCACCTGATTTTGGAAAACACTTCAAGCAGTTTGGCTCAAACAGTGGTCAGTCTGTAAGATTTATTGGTGTTTTTAAAAAGTAGTCTTAAAAAAGTAAAAGTAAATTATTGAGACACATTGTGGGTTTCAAAGAGTAAAATGTAAAATGATCATGAACCTGTGTGAACATTCAAACACAAGTATAAATGTGTTTCCTATCCACCCAAAGATAGTCCTTATTCCACCTAAGAAGAAACCTATCAGGCATAGAAAGCACATGTACTCTTACTAGTCTCTCAAAGTGTATTCTGGAATAAAGAAACATTTCTCCCTTTAATCATGGGGTTTTCATTAACTGACCACCAGAGGGAGCAGTAAATACCAACAACAGACCTCAGACAGATTCATTTTTCATGAGGATGTACAGACAGATCTGACATGTACAAACAAATATAACCTCTAATTATCCAACATAAGTCACAGTAAACTACAAAACATTACGGCATCTCAATTACCCCAGAGCCATTCTCTCTCCTTCGCTCTCTTCCCCTAAGATCAATGTACACTCTGTCGTCTGTAAAACAACACTCGGGCCCTTCTGATGTTTCAGCAGAGCTCACGGTGGTCTCCTGGGAGGATCTCACACAACAGACTGCTCTAATGAAACATCCGATCAGCTTCTCTCCCATGATGAAACCACACACCACCACGGATAATCATTTCATCCAGTCCTATAGACGGATATTTCATGAAATGCTGTTGAAAACAGCTGTTTAGTTGAGGAAGAGCCAGGTTTTTCCATCACACTGACATGGTTTTCATCTTCAGCAGCATACTTCCACACAGAGGAGTGTGTGAATCTCATTAGCCTACTTCTGCCTCTAACTCCCGTGTCTCATCTTCTATTTTAGTTCTGCTACCCACATCTACCAACAGACAAAAAAAAAGCCTAATCATGTTCAAACCAACCACTAGTCTAGAGAGACTGCACTTAAAACAGCATTCAAAACACTACATACATCTGAATGCACCTGCGTGAGACGCGTGAAACACCTCAAAACAATATACTGAAATTAAGTATAAGATGTATAGGATACCACATGACCTCTTACAGAAAAGTGATTTTTGACTTGATAAAGTCCTCAAGCATCCTCCAAAAGGTGCATATTGGATCAAACATGAATAAATGGAGAGAACTGACACTTCTACAATTCTTTTCTACCAGTGTACACAATGTAAAAGCACACTTTAAACATTATTATAAAAGTTTTCTTAATTAGTTATGAAGAACAAAAATAAATAAGGGAAAAATTAATAGGCTAATCTAGGCTTAATGCAAGATACTGCACTTGGGTCTTCAAGACTCCACACATGAAGAACGTAAAGCCAACTGCAACAGAACAGCGCAAATATTATGTAATATTCATATTTTATACGTACCACAAAACTTCTAAAATGGTTCATAATCATTTTTTGGAAATTAATAAAAGGCTTTAATTACTAAATTACAATTAAAATCTGAGAAGTGTGTTGATGCTTCATAGGTTGGTGTGTATATACCAAGGTAAACTTGTAGAATATAATAGAATAGACTAAAATAAAACACCTGGAGAAAATAGATTTTATAGATCCAAACAGACTTGGATTCATACACTGTAAAAAATAAATCCGTTAAAATAGTTCACAATGTACTGTACTAATATAAAACAGATTTCCGTATTGATTTTACCTTTATTTTATTAATTTTGCACATCGTGTTGTATTTTAGGGTTAATGGAAAAGTCTGTAAAATTAATGGACAACGTCCTGGCAGAAAATTACCAGCATTTTTAAATGCAAAAACAAAATTATTTTAGGAATAGGTTTAAGATTTTAGTCAGTCTGTACAGACTTAAAAAAACAAAATTAGCTTTCTACAGAAAGAATGTAAGTATATAGTACGACTTCATGTTGAGAGCAATGCAAATGAGTATATCTGGTGTTCAAATTGAATCAAGTGAATTCATCATTGAAATATAAAACAGAAGCTCTTATTAAAGTATCCTGTTAGTTACTGCTGACCATTTCTTTACTCTAGCCTACAGCATCAATCATTCATACTGTATCCGTCAATGCATGGATGCGCACACGCGCGCGCACACACACACACACACACACACACACACACACACACACGTCTGCCACCAGTGACCAGTTTTATGAATCCTGTGGTCCAACAGTCTGTCGCTGTCTGTCTGATTTCCCTGTATCGTTCATTCATCTGCAGTCACCCCCGGAGTGTGTCTCTCCATCTGTCTGTCTGTCTGTCTCCCATTTCTGCATTGCTTTGTCTAAATCACTGTACAAACACAAGGAAGCCAGGGATGCAAGCACATGCAACTTCTCTGCTATAAACAGGCCCATGAAACATTCATCAGTTCCAGTTATTACAGCTGCCCCATCGCCCCATCATGAAACAGTAAAATCACCCTCTCCTTCCCTCCCTCTGCTCCTGTAAATCCCTCCATAGCCCTCCGGCACAAACATCTGTCTGCACTGGACGCCGAGGCATTAAACAGGCATCACCAGACCTGTGCATGTATGTCATGTTTAATGAAAGAGAATAATGTGTTACATATCAGACAGGAACAAAATCTGAATCTTAGACCAGACGGGTGAAATATGAACAGAAAAACAGCACACGTGGTTTTAGTGAAATGTTTCAGCATCCTCTCCATCCGTGAACTCACCTCTGTCCCTGCGGTCTCCTGCTGTTGCTCATGCCTTCATTATTTCATAGCATTTATCTGGAGTGCGAGCACACACAGACACACGTAACACACACCACCACTGATGTCTGCGCCGCTCCGCCACCAGCTAAACCGTCCCTCTTTGTGTCACACACATTTGCGTGTTCATGCAGCTCCTCTCCTCACACACACTCTCATTCTGACACAAACGCTGTTCTTCTTGTCGCTGTTCCTTGGTAACGGTGGAATCTGAGCCGCATCACGCCCCCCCCCGCGCTTCTGCCCTCCTTCCCCATCTATCCCACAATTCCCTCCCTCTCCGTCGCTCGCCTGGCCACAGAAATAAATATTTCAGCATGCAAATGTAGCGTGGTGCTGCTTCTCACTCCACCAACATTTGTGTGCATGCATGTGTGTAGCATCCGCCTACTGTTTGGCACACTGATATTTTCTACATTTATTAATTTGGTAAATGTGTTTATGCATTTATGTTGCATTTAAGGCATAAAGAATTGAACTCACAGCCTTGGTGTTGCTAGTTTCAACACCAACTGATCTACAGGAACACATGTTTTTTTGTGATAAACTGGAAACACATCGGTTAGGGTGATTAATTTCTTTATTTCTGTCAAGATCAATCAAAACAAGAGATAAAGGAAAACTCTTTAATCTATAATAAAAATATATTTTTAAATTAATTTATTAAATATATTATTAATTCATAAATTTCATTTCGTTTTTGGGGAGTTGCACTACACAACATTGTAAAATCTGAACTAACCTTGCCTTACTAAAAATTCAAATGTAATATTTAAGTCAAAATGTAATAATTTCAGAGACGTATTTACACTGACAAACAATTATGATTGTCAGCAGTGGTTCCCACTATATGACAATTTCTATTTTATGTTTTCTGCACGTTGGTCTAACCACACAGCTTATGTTTTCTAAGAAATAGTGAAAAAAAAAAAAGTCCAAACCATTTAAATTTTTCTTTTAAAGGGGTCATATGACGTTGCTAAAAAGAACATTATTTGGTGTATTTGGTGTAATGCAACGGGTTTATGCGGTTTAAGGTTAAAAAACACATTATTTTCCACATACTGTACATTATTGTTGCTCCTCTATGCCCCGCCTTTCTGAAACACGTTGATTTTTACAAAGCTCATCGTTCTGAAAAAGCGAGGTGTGCCCTGATTGGCCAGCTATCCAGTGCATTATGATTGGCCGAATACCTCAAGCGTGTGACGGAAGTGTTACGCCCCTTACCATATTGTGATGCCGTCTCCCAGCAGGACGAGACAAAACCAATAAAACTCATTACAAATGAGGCATTTGTTGCATTCAGTGGGGACATAATTACTGATTATAATGACTTATACTGTCTTTTTACGCGTTGCATTGCATATCGCGCTGCGTAAACATAAAACCATGTCTGCATTTGTGATCGGAAAAACAACAAACAACAAGCCTACTCTACACTGCTCAAAACTTTTTTATTTAAATATAAAAAACGTACTTACAGGCTGTGAGTCAGAAGCGCCAGACTGTCCTTGCAAAGTTGGAACTGCCCCAATTTATAGAAACAGCCTTTGTGCCACAGACGCATTTTAGGCTACTGGTTCAGGAAACAGTCCTCATCCTCCATAAAATGTGCAGCACACATCTGAATATTTGGGTTGAACTGTTCTGGAACAGTGTTGTAAATACAACTTAACCATTTATGCACCAAGAGCTTGTAACACTCCAAAGAGAAAGGAAAAATTTTAATCGCATCATATGACCCCTTTAATGACTATAATTTATAATGGGTCTTTTTTCTTCATTATGCTATCGGTTATCAGTACAAAGTGATTAGTATCACCCTGACATTTGAGGTTAAGCCCCACCCCACCCAAAAAACAAACAAACAAACAACAACAAAAAAAAAAAACACCAAAATGAATTTTAATTCAGAACTAAAAAAAAATATATATATATACTAATCATAGAAGTGGTGTATTCGAATTACTGCCTGTACGAATGAAACTAAACAATGTAGCTGAATAAATAAATAAATAAAGACAAAAACAAAATCTGTTTATGAATTTTTTGGGTAAAATTTGAGGGCATTTCTCTGAAAATTCATGTTCTATTCATTGAATTCAATGCCAAAAAAAAAAAAAGAAAAAAAAAAAGACAGACAGACATGGCTTTTTTAAGCCAGTCACAGCGGGTGAAATTGCTCACTCATTTGTGTGGTGCATTAATTGATGGGCTTCTCAGCAACTAAACTGACACCATTCTTCTGCTCCCACGAGAGCAAACTCTCTCAGGCACTGCTAGGTAACTGGGTTACAAACGCTAACATGAACTAGTACATAGAGAATGTGGCATGCTTTAGGAACATGAATAACTTGCTGATAAACACTATAGACACTATAGAGTACAAACCATTTTAAGTTCAAGTCAGCATTACAAAACCATTCCCAATAGATTGTAAAACCTATCAATTTAAAGCATACTAAAACTGCTGTTAGCAGTCTGTAGGAAAATTATGTGCATTAAAAGTTTACTAAGCAAGGTTCTAAAAGTTCAGTGCCAGCTTTGATAACAAATCTGTGTCAGCTCAGGATTTTTCCATGTATTGACACAACAAGCCTGTTAATGATAATCCAATACTGCCATTCAAGTAAACGTAACACCCTGCAACTCACCGCAACAACCCAAAGCACTGACAGATACACATGGTTAAGCAACTAGAACACTCTTTTTACTTTGAATAACTACACTGCAAGCACAGTATACTTTAATAATGGCCAGAAACATCGTAAAACAGGAAAAATCGTTTTCAAAACGATTCGCGTTTACACATCTACGAAAACGGCCAAAAACACTGTATTACGTAGGCCCTATGCCAGGCCAGTAGTTGGCGCTGTCACCTGGTTAATAAACTGTACCTGTAGGGAAGTCATGATTATATGATGTATATAATGCGTCTCCGCTGTTGGTTGTAATATTGGTAAAGTAAATCCACACTTTGCTGATGAAGCGTTAGCAAACTCTTGAGCAGCAACAACAGTACCATTTACTCTGCCATTGTTGTGTATGTTTGTTCGCGCTTGCCTTTAAAATTGACCCGTACTGCACATGTCTACATGCATAACACATACTACGCAGGCACATGACGTCACCATTTTCAAAGATTCCCGTATTGAGTGTTTACCATAGACTGTATAAAAACATGGACGTAGTGTCCGTGACGTCACCCGTAGAGTTCCGAAGAGCCTTTCTGAAACCCAAAGTGGACAGAGGGGGCCGTCGCCATCCTTGCCACGCGTCACCGCGTGTCACTCCCGGATAATCGAAAATGGGCAAAGAGGCGGGAGCAGGTTGCTGAAACCACGCCCACCTAGCTCGACGGCAGTGTCCACCTGTCACTCAAGTGGCCACGCCTTTAATTATGCAGAACTTTAAGGCTTAATATAATTTAAACGGATGAGTTATAAAAAAATTCACCCCCCTCACAGTTGTCATGAAGGGCAAAATTAGCTATATAGACCAAAATAATTTTTTGAACCAGGCTGTAAACATGTTTTTTTCTGCTGTAAAGTTGGGCATTTTAACATGGGGAGTCTATGGGATTGACTCCCTTCTGCAGCCAGCCTCTAGCGGCCAGTTGATGAATTACAGTTTAAGTCACTTCCTTGTTGGCTTCACGAGAGAGAGCGGGAGGTTGCCGCTTGGTGTTTACACGGAAAAACGAAAAACTGTCGTGTAAACCAACAACTAAAACGCATAAAAAGTTTCCCGTTTTTGGATGAAAATGTTGTTTTCCCCTTAGTTTTGTCACACAACTCGCTCGCACATATAGGCCCCCATGTTACAAATTAACAGCGAACATTCGTACATGCACTCTTAAAAATAAAGTTTCTTTATTGCCATTTATGGTTCCATGAAGAACCTTTAACATCCATGGAACCTTTCCATTCCACAAAAGTTTTTTTTTTTTTGGTAAAGGAAAAAGGTACTTTCGATTTTTAAAATGTTCCTCACACTAAGAAAAAAAAAATACTGAAAGGTTCTTTGGGAAACCCAAAATGGCTCTTTTATTGCACTGCAGTAAAACCCCCTTCTGGAACCTTTTTTTTTTTTTTAAAGAGTGTGACATCAATAAAAAGAAAAACTAACAAAAACAAAAACATTGCAACCAATGAAGAATTTTTCCAAGAATTGATGTTACAGTGGAATAAGCGCGTTCTGTCAAACCAATTCCAGCAAAGCAGAGATTTCTGCTGATCCAACAAGTGAAAGCAAACAAGATTAAGGAAAGCGAACAATGGTAGATTGAGGGCATTCCTTATGAATTAAATTACGATTAAAGAGGACAGGGAGTTCTCTGATTAACCCACTGCTTATGTAACCACTCAGGATTTTATCCACTAAAACAGTCCATCAGACAGCAGAGAACCTTAGAAATGGGACAGCAGAGGGACAGGATGATAAACATCATTCCAGGTACATGAAAATCCCCATGCACTGTAGACTCTATAAAAAGAACATGCTGATATCTAAAAGCAGACGATTGCACAAACAGCTAAGAACAACTGGATGACGGACGGGTGTCTTGAAACATATCCAATTGACTAAAATAGATCTACTAGACATTCAGCAGTGACAGAAATTCACACTCCAGTAGCCCAAAGAACAGGAAACTGAGCCTAAACATTGAACCAGTAAAGCGTCTGATGTTTCGTTAAATCAATAATACAACACTCATAAATGAGAAGACATCAATTATCATTTTGGATTAAATGGAGGTTTCCCAGCAGCAGACAGACAACTTTTACATCAACATAACGTGGTGAAACCTTTTCAGCTCCTGAATGGATCAATCAAAAACGACAATCTTTAATAAACTCCATTTGATGGTGATCAGCATGTATCAGCAAAGTAAAAAGAATTAAAGATCAACCTCAAACTGTGGTGATATTTCCAGCACCTAACATCTACGTTCCTCCCTTCATTCCCTTCATATCCATTTTCAATCTCACCTGTGCTCTCTTCTTCCTCTTGTGCACATTATCCAGGTGCACGGATCTTCTTTTACTTGCTCTACTGGGTCCATCCAGGCATCTTTCAAAGTCATGGACCCTTGAGGACTCTAGTGGTCCAGAACCTTCATGCAAGGTGTGCTTGTTCCTCTTCTTGCGTCGCAGTTTGGCGACATCTGGTCTGTGCTGCTCAGGACCCTCGATAGCCTTGGGTTCAGAGGGTTCCAAGACCCTGGGTCTCCTAAACAGGTTGTGGAGAGACAGCAACACCAGTGTGCACAGAACATACATGGTGGCGCTGACTAATAGAATCACAAATGGGTCCACCAACACGTTCAGTCAGAATCAGAGATGGAGTGATCCCGTTTCAGTATCAGTGCAAGCAGAGAACACTATCTTCTGGTTGAAGTTACAGTTGTGATATCAGCTCTACTGTGCTGCGCTTGTGTAGTGGTGAGATTCTGTCAAACTGAAGTCCAAAAAGAAGGGACTAACCAGTTTGGAATAAAGTCCACCATCAATAGTTGCCTTCTTGCTTCTTTTCCCACCAGTTCTTCGCTGTATTCACACATGCTAAGACTGTTCAGAACAAGCTATTCAGACACCTCAGAGCTCGACTTCTTCTAATGCTCATTTAGGCTGATAATCTGTCCGTGATCTGATCAGCAAATGAGATGGCTGCTCTCATCTCCCATTCTGAGGGAGCGCCGACTAATGCACACCTGCTTTTAAACCCCACAAAGCCATTTTAACCTACCTGGACACATCTATAAAGACACACCCTGATAAACAAGCTCATGTAAGCCAATGCAAACACACGCAAACTTGTAGAATAATAGATGACTAGTTTGCTAATCAGGAATAACCTCCACTGGCACGATCTGATATCCAACAAATCTTTGCCTCCTAATGGTTTTATTGTAATTTTTACAGTCGCTGGATTGCAGGGATAAAACTCTCCCAGGTCAGCCCACTCCTTCTGTCATAACGCTTGGTTTTGATAGTCTTTATCCTAGTTTGTGGTCCATACGACTGGGCAAACTCCAAACGGTCGCAGTCCGGCCGATCCTGCGCTGCGGGTGAACTCCCACACCTCTGCTGAAAGAGAAAATGCGTTTCACTCTTTCTCCCTCCCTTTTCTCATGGGGTCCATCTGTCACTGCAGTAGAGAGAGCTAAGCGTCTCTTAGCGATGATGTAACAACTTTTTGCATCTATGCAAAAAGAAGAAAATCAACTTCAAAATGTATGGATAAAGAAGCCTGTCCATGATTGGTTGTTGCCATGGTGAGATGACCTTGTTAAACTGCGTTTTACAAACCCGTCCATCATGCTTCTTCATGTAATGGGCGACTAAGGGAATGGCTCACAGTGAGAACTGACAGTGTCGATCTTGAAGGCTTGAATATGATTTGTGGTCATAACAGATCACTGAAGCCTTGTTCTGGAACTTCAGGATAAAAAAAAATTGTGTCATGTTCCCTGCATGTGTGTAGAGCAAAAGACCATCTTCTGGTTCATTACCCTTTTTAGCAGCCCGTCTGTCACATAATTCAGATTAAGAACAAACAACAATAGTGCCTTTTATAACCAATAAAGCAGTTACTGCTCAACAGACTAAATGGAATATTACACATTTTATTAAAAATGCTCAGTATAATGTGGGGAAAAAACTTTAACCGCAAATAATTTCACTGCAGAGGAATGCATTTTTTTATAGAGCAGGGGTGTCCGATCTTGTTCCTGAAGGGCCAAAATCCTGCAGAGTTTAGCTCTAACACACTTGCCTGGAAGCTTCTTGCTACTTTGGTTTAGGTGTGTTTAAATTAGGGTTGGAGCTAGTGCTAGGCGGTCTGACAAAGAATCTGTATCGCTTTTTTTTTTTTAGGATTCTGATGGTTTCACCGTTTATCACAGTTTTTCCCTGACTGTCTTTATACGAATCAAAATGCATGAAACCACTGCATTTTAAATCATGACCCAAACAAACATGCTACATGTAGCATGAACAGTTTTTGATGTAAAATAGATTGTACAATTTCAAAATGTTCAAAATTCAAAAACTGAATGGTCTGACCTTAGCTTTGTGAAATTATGCTACTTAAAACCAGTGGCGGAGCCAGGATGTTTTTATAGGGGTGGCCAGGGAGGGGCCAGCAACCAGTCTGGGGTGGCACAGAAATCTTCATTATTTCAATATAAAAATGTGATTGACTATAAAGTATTGGACTGTTTTAGTGCCTAAAACACAACTGAATACAATTAATTTCTACTAAATTGTAATTGAGATATTTGTGAATTAGATCAAGTAATGCTGAGTGAATATAACAATTTGTGTATTATTCCCCACCTCCAGGTATTTTAATAAAGGGGCTCACTATAGCTTTATTGCTCAGTCAGCTTGGTTCTGGTTCTCAAAAAAAAATTTTCGTTTGTAAAAAAAAAAAAAAAAACAGCTTGCGCCTTATATTGTGATCTCGAATTGCACAATATTTCAGTACATGCATTTAAGAGAATTTTTGGTAATTTCATGCCTTAACTGATGACAGAACTACATTGTATGCTCATAGTTTCTTGTTAGCTTTATTTATGATGAAGCGATAAAGAGCGTGCGCCTTATATTCGTGTAAAGTTGAAGAGTGTGCCCCGTGAGCACGGTAAAACAGCTGTCAGGAGATGAAAAGTTTGCTTTACTGACATATAGCCTACATCTCACCAGACCGCAGTTCACTGTTGTTCTACTGAAGCTCATTTGGCACATGTTCCTTTCCGCGCTCGTTTGACTTGCACCTGGCGCCGAGGCGAAGTTGAAGTGCGTGTCTGAAAAGTCTTCCATTTGATGTGGTCATTAAAGAGATACAGCGGTTCCGTGCCTTAATAAATGCATTTCTTGTCAAGAAAAAAAAGGGACAAAAACTGCAGTTTTAAATGGGGTGGCCAAGCTTAGGTCAGTGGTGGCCACGGCCACCCCTGGCCACCCCCCTGGCTCCGCCCCTGCTTAAAACATATGTGCATGAAACAAAAACAGCAGACGGGCTGAAAGAGACGTAAATTCACTCTCTAACAGCAGGTGGCGCTTATGGAATAGCAGCGATACAATGTTTCCTTGGTTACTGCTGTAAACAAAGCAAGCTGTGCTTTTAAATAAATATGCAATATATATGGAGGTAAGATGAAAAGAAAATACCATCTAAACTTTTCTGAAGACAGTCAGTTCCCCTCAGAGATATATTCACATAAACCCCCAATATGTCGTGCATGGTGCAGTGAGTTTGCTCGGCCTGCTACAGTATTTTCTCCTCTTTGTGTTCGTCTTCAGCGTCTCTGGCTCAGTTCTAAAAGTTCTCCAACCATTAGTCAGAAGTGTATGCAGTTAACAGGATCCCCTTTCAATTCACGACGCTGTCCATGTTGCTTAGCCACTTGTTCTGGTATGCCGGTTTTTTAAAAATGTATACGGTGTTTCTGATGTCCTAGGGGTCGAGTTAATTGTTTGCCCTTTGATTGCAATCTTTGGTGTTCCTTCTTGGTGTCAGCATTTAAGCCGGAGACAGGCTGACGTCATAGCTTTTGCATCTCTTCTTGCTAGGCGCAGAATACTGTTATCTTGGACCTCCCCTCAACCCCCCTCTATTTCAGCTTGGCTCAAAGATTTGGTCTTTTTTTTTTTAAACTTGAAAAAATGAAGTACAATATCAGAGGTAGGGGGAATCTTTTTTTGAAAAATGGCAACAATTTATCACATTCTTTAATGATTTACAAATCTTAGACATGGATTGAGTGGAGGTATATATGTATACCCCTTATTTTATTAAAAATTATTAATTTGTTTTATGTATTTGTTGTATTTAGTATTTGGATTTTTTGTAAAAAAATAAAAAATAAAAAGTACATTTTTTTATTTTATTTTATATATATATATATATTTTTTTTCTTTCTTTCTTTCTTTCTTTCTTTCTTTCTTTCTTTCTTTCCAGATGTCATTGTGTTCTAATTGGGGATTGCTTTGTTGGGGCTGGGTAGGGTCATATATGGTTGGTGGGGTGGTATAAAATGTAAAAATGCAATTTGCAACAATAAAAATTCAATGATTAAAAAAAAAAAAATGTATACGGTGTGTGTAATTCAAACCGGTTTACCGTTTGAACCGGTATATCACCTAGTTGGAGCAAAACTCTGCAGGACAGTGATCCTTCAGGAACAGGTTTGCACACCCCTGTTATAGAACAATAAGTAAAAACTGTCTGTGATCAAACCACTTAAAGGTACAATCAGATCAGGGTTATAAAAAGATAGGACTGCAGGGGAAAAATAAAATCATAAAATCATAAAAAAAAAGAATATGGCGCCATTAGATGCTTACAAAGATAAAAGTTGGCTTGTCCAGATCACAAAGGTCACCAAAAGGCCACCTTACAAGATATGCAGGACACCAAACAACCACAATACAATTCAAATGGAAACGATATGAGATGTCCTCTGTAACACTACACTGTACATTAGAACAGCATTCCATTAAAAATGATACAGGAATTAGTTCACAATCTATATATTAACAAATCTATGCAGAATGAAATTGCCAAATGACTCAAAGTTTGTATTTATTCCAAAAAAGAATTTGAGATTTTCACTCAGCTATTATATAGTTACAACATGTAAATAGTTTGAAAAAGCAGGCATGCTGTGATTCTATTTTCCAAGATTCCAAAAGCAAACTACTTTTAATAATGGATGTCAGAAGTCACTGGTGTTATGCATGTTGTTATGTGATATGTGAGCTGATAAGAAAGACAATAAACATGAAATGACTGTATATGATGGGTGAATAAAACACAGTGTTGCCAAGACTCCAGTGTTGCTATGAATAAAATAATACAACTGCAATAAGTTGGATATCATATTACGGCAGTTTAAACAAATGGCCTCAATGTCTTGACAAGTCTTCACAATGATGTTCAAAACATATATGAATTTCTTTCCTCCTTGAAACAAAGTAAAAATCTGGAAGAACTGTACAAAGTTCTTTTCCATGAAAGTACAATGAACAGGCCACTTCTAATAATTCTGTGGTGTTTCATATCCTTTTTGATACTTGAAGGCTTCAGTCTCTCCATTTATTGTAATTGCATGGAAAAGAAAGGCCAGTGCACGCTTCAGAATTTCTCCTTTTGTGTTCCACTTCCAAGACAATTCTCCTTAAGTTCACACCGGTGTCCTAGCAGAGTAACCACAGATGCAAATCATCACATTAACAATGAACTAACTTTAAACAACTAGAAAGCCAAACACTTGGCTTACTTTTAAACAATATATCTAGACCACGTTTCGCTTAAAGATGTGCTTGTGCTTTCTTTCTTAAAAAAAACTAACATTCAAATTGCTTTATTATGTTGTTATCTATAATGAAATGAAATCCTAAATGCAATGCATTTCAAGTGTCCAAACGAGCTTTGGTGCAACTCTAGTTCATTACACAAAGCAAATATTTACACAAAACTTTCAGTGGAATCTCACAGTTATCTTGATCTATCAATGAATTATAAAGTCTATGTGTGTAGGTGCCATGAAATCACCCAGGTATGTGACTTATAGTTAAGAGGTTAAACCGAACACAACCACATCAGTTAATAAAATTCTACATGCAATGCATTTTAAGTGTCCAAATGCGCTTTGGTGCAACTGAAGTTCTTAGCACAAGACAAATATTTGCACAAAACTTTCAGTGGAATCTCACTGCTATCTTGATCTATCTATGATTTATAAAGTGTATTTGCGCAGGTGGCATGCAAACACCCAGGTATGCGGCTTCTAGTTAAGAGGCTAAACCGAACACGACCACCTCGGTTAAGCAGCTTAGAGCAGAAATATTTCAGCAAAGTGAGCAGTGGGATTAGGAAAAGCTGACAGCTGACACCACTCTCATTCAAGCCCTTCCCAATTAATGCAACGAGACAGTGAGTTCAGAAAGGGAAAGTCAGCAGAGACTTGTACATCCTTCCTGTGTGTCTCCAGCCAGCGATGAATTTAGTTTTGCTGCCACACAATGCCTTCAGTGTGTGCTATTTCTGAAGCAAATTACAGAGTAACAG